TCGCGAAATTACCATAATGACAAAAACATTTTCGCTTCATTTACATTGATTTGAGTCCAATCAATCCTGCAGTTCTGTTGTCATATTGTTTAGTATTATTTACATTTCATTGTAATTTCACCAAAAAAGAACTACATTATAGCGTATTCATGATCTATGACAATGCGTCTGGACTGATTTGTGCACCTCTCGAGTACAGGCAAGCGATGCCCATTATCTAGTATCGCATAGCTGAATATTGTAATGGAAAAGAAGCATTCTTGGCGGACATCATTTTTTATTTCGAAAGAACTATCCAGTCAGTTCCCATATACAAAGATGTTGTGGTACATCGTCACATTCCATCAATTTCAGGCGGCTGCTAAATTAATAAAGCAATGATAGTGAGTTGCTGGTATTTAAACCGATGTAACATCACCCTTCTTAGCGTAAATAGCTGGATCAGAACAAGCGCATCCCGAATGAAGCGAATCGCCTAGTCACGATGATTCTGATACCTCGTGTTGTCATAAGTCTATTTAGAAGAGAAGGGGAAAATTTTCCGGAACTCTAGTATACTGATTCTTCATTAATGATGACGGAACATCCTGTCATCTTTCTTAGAAATTAGAAGCAGAATTGCTTTGTTCCAGTCTTCTGGTATTATTTCCTTTTGTCAAACCAAAACGGATATTTGTTGAAATTATGAGCGGTGATAGACAACATTTGAAGAGCTCTGGCCGAAGATTTTTTCCTGGAGTTTTATTGGTCTTAAGCTTACGAATTTCAGAAATTATTTCATCTTCTATTGGCACATGCAGCTGCAAACGTCTAACGAATCAGTCAGCTGCATCAGTAATAACAGATGGCGCATCGTGGTTAAGTTTAGTCTCATAAAAATCCTTCTATCTTATGAGGTGATCCATAATAGACTTAACATGCGTCCCATTAATATTCGTGTCATTTCGGTAACCCTTACTCCAGTTGCTTTGTGAGAAAGACGAAATGGTTTCCTATCATCACCTAACCGAGCTGCTATCTCCATTCTCAGGCCCGTATTAGCTTTCTGATTTTTGACCCGCCGTGCTCGATTTGCTGTAATACTTCGAGGCACCTCATAGTCAGTACTTCGAGCTTCTCAAATAGCCTTTTCAAACAGTTGGACAACTGCATCCGATGCCCAGTTTCCTACTAGGACATTTCCTAGCAGTACATCTTGTTTTAAAAGTGGCGATATAATCAGTTTGTTGAAATATTGGTTATTCGTAGAATCATATGTGACTAAATGCCTTCTCCGATGCCGAAAATATGTATTAACAAAGAGCTCGTGCTCTGCAAAGCGAAGAAGGCGTTGGCACACTAGATCCCGACGCCATATTTGTTAACACTGAATTCATAACGATATTATGACCTACGTGCTAATCCAGTCTCCTCCGATTATGACCATGTCAACTCTCGGCAAAGATGTTAATAGTTGGAGCTCCGTATCGAGGTCATCTGAGCATAAAGTTGGAGCATATATACTGATGACTGAAATATTGCAGAATTTTCCCTTGAGACGTGAGTAGGCCATACGATCATTTAGGTGTTGGTTTCCACTCAATCAGCAAATCGAGCCTTTTCAAACAATCGCTACGCCATTTCGCACGAGTTATCCGAGACGCCACAGTGGCATAGCCAGTATCTTTGTTCGAACCAAGCCTAATAATTATTCCAGAGCCGACAGGAGGAAGACGGGAAACAAATCACATTCACGCATTAATTAGAAGGATTGTGGATATTGACCGTTTGACTTGCAACATCCATAAGCCTTCTGACGTTACAATCAACTATCCAGCACCTCACCGCGTTTACAATGTGTTAGCGGATAGTTTCCTTGACGGATTTTGTACTTATCACGGTTTGCGAGTAAATTCAAACTCTGGAATGAATTTATTGTCATAATTACGTCCGGATCGTATATTATCGCTTGCACCATCAAGTACCATCGAATTAGAAATATCAGGTGCGTCAAAAGCCGCCATATCAATAACCCTTGGAGATAAGGATATGGATCTCCAACTGCCATTGGGATGATGAATGACAGATTTACTTATTTCAAGAAAAATAAAAATACTGATAATTAAATTTTTAAAAAAATTGAGTTTTATTCGAGGACAATTAAAGAATAAAATTTAAAAAAAAAAAAAACTTATCTGATTCGCAGAAGAGGATAGTATTATTAAAATAATAATAATGGCACTTAATTATCATAGTAAATAATAAATAAATTATAAAATAATAATGGTAATTTGATAAATTTGATAAATATCGTTTTATTAACTTATTAGTGACTGAGCAGAGCACGCTTTCGGCATAACATATAAAAAATTTTATGTTACTGCTGTTAGCTTTTTTATCACTTCTTAACGGCTAATTTCATTAAATTTATTTTATTTCATCACTTATTTTTTCCAATCTCTAAAAATTGTTGCTTATTTCACTAAAATTGTTATCTTGGTTTCACTTAACTTCTTATTCACCGTTTGTAATATGAGAATCAGTCGTTTTACTTGGTTCATTTCTCGATTTAGTGAAATCATTAAAGCATTTTAAAATTAACCAATTTGTAAATTTCTTTCCCCATTGGAAATTTTCCATTTTTGGCCGAAATATTTCCGGCAGCAAGTTGAATTCGGAATTTATTCATAGCATCAAGAGCACTTTTTTTACATGGAAACATTCCTTTATCGCACTTTCTTTTATCGACTGTAAGTGAAATGAATTATATTTCAAAAAACTATTCTATATATTAGTGCTTTAAAAATAAAAATCACAGTGAAATATGGAAAAAATTTTTATTTATAAATTTGCTAAAGCAAATGAAGAAAAAATATTTCGATTGAAAAAAATTTTCTAAAAATAAATTCCTCTGCTGGAACTTAAATCAGCGGTCTGGAATTAAGTGAAAACCATGAAGTTCTATTTCATTCAAACCTTTTTCTGTTTCGCAGAGTCCATCCTTGTTGCAAATTGAATTGGGACGACAGCATGGCCACCCTGCTTCACATTGTTTTCCTTTTTTGTATAATTTCTTGAACATAAATCCACTAAAACTCGTAAAATTTATGTAAAATATATATGTATCTAAGATCAACAATAAGTGATTAAATTAAAATTATGAAAAATATTCTTAAAGAAAAATCATTACCTTGGCCAAAATTTGCAAACGGTATACTGAACAGTAGGGCGTTCATCCGTTTTATAGTTTTCATATGTTTCATAGTATTCATTCGAATCATAGTCAACTTGGCATATATCATTTGTTGCACAACCCACTTGCACAGTTAGCCCCGAGGCTATCTAAAATATCTCAGGAAACTTAACGAGTGCAGTTATTACGCCAAAAATCTATCTAAAGAGAACAACTTATTAAAACATTGCCTGGACGAAGTCATCCAGTGAACCGATTCTGGAAGTTGACACGCTAGTGCTATTGACGCTAGTGCTATTGTAAAATTCTTCTACTCTTTTTGTCCATTCGCTTATTGCATCTTCTATCGGTTCATCTAAAATTGCAAAGAAAATCATCTAATTTACTGTTTAGCTCTTTTTCGTATTGTTAATTGCATTTTTAATCAGTATTTTCAAATATTATTCAAGGCTTTGAGGATTTTCATTTATTTTATTTTTTCTCAGTATTTTTTCCTGAACTAATTTTCGAAAATTTCCTTCAAATTTCAATATTCAAATGAAACGTGTTTACCTTTTATATCAAACGAAACGTGCGTAGCTTCACCATTATTTTGCGAATCTGTTTGGGTCAACTCAAAATTGCATTCGTCAACTTTCTTTTTAGCCAAATCTTCTAATGTATCGTTCCATATCTAAGAATTCGAAGAAGAACGTACGAATTGCGAATTCGCTAATTTGTATGGAAAGTCGTTCGCAAAAAATGGATAGAAAACTATTTCCTTAGCTTTTATAAGTATTTTAAATAACCTAAATAACTAATATTTTTCCTACGTTTGTAAATAGGTTACTTGTAAAAAAATTATTCAGATCGTTTAAATTATATTAAATTATTTGTTTATTTTGTTTATTATTTATTAAATAATTAAATTATTTGTTTATTGCAGTGCTTTATTCTCTATAATAATATTTCATTTCGCTATCAACGACTTTTAAAATTGCTTTTTATTTCAGGAAAACTATTTCACTTGGCATCTTACTTACCGTTACCAATACGAGAAGATTGCTCCAATTTCCTGATCACTTCATCGAACGAATAAATTATTTTCGTTAAATATTTGAAATAATTTAAAAATTAACCATTTTATAAACCTCTCTCCCCCGTGGAAGCTTTCCGCTCGCGGTCGCGATATTTCCACTCACAAGCTGCGCTCGGAATTTATTCATGGCGTCAAGCGCTTTTCTACGATAAGCAGACAAATCGACTTTGTCATCTCAAAGTGATAAAATTACATACCATTATTAATGATTGAAAATTAGAAATAATAGTCAAAGCAAATTTTAATACAAGTAAATTTTGCGTTTTTATTTGATTTATTTTATCAGTCTATTTCATTGAATCTACAAGAAATGTCGCAGATGTTGGAGATGAAACTATACTTGATTTTGGTTCAATGCATTCTAGTCTTTCGCTTGGTGGCGTTGTGGAAACATTGGTCCAACATTCAACAATTTTCTGGTCACATTCACATAATGCCTGGCCGCATGGATTCCCTGCAATAACATTACTAACTTCTTACTGTATTCTTTCGGTTTTTAAAAAAAACATTACTGAGTAGAATTGGCTACATTATCAACTAGATTCATTTTGGAATTAAGAATGGTGTGGAAGTTCCAGTTTTCCTTATTTCGTGGAAAAGAAGCAAATTAGCATTGTTACTAACTATTATTTAATATAAAATTACTTTACAACTGTGTTCTTTTACAGTAAAACTTACAAAGCGTATTTTTGCATCTGGGGGAATTGCCAGTTTTAGTTTGAACTGATCCTTCAGCTGTTTTTGGACAAGACCAGGAATAAGGCCACAAATACAGAAGAGAGGTTATGTTGTAACATTTAGCAAGAGCATCTCCATAACAATTGTCATGAGTCTGACAGCACCTCAAATACAAATTTGCAAAATATTTGAGGTGAGGTAATTATTTGAGATAATGCAATTGTGAAAGGGTTATATAAGCATGTTCACCCATTTTTTGAAAGAACTTTCCTCCTCAAAATTAATTATTAATGATTTTTGCTAAATGGAATTTTATTATGAAAACCACACCTTATATTGCAATTCCTTGCCCCAATTGCTAATGGAATTTGCAACAGTTACCTATTTATTATCTTTAATTTATTAACCTTGCTAATGCTTTTTAAATATAATATTGCTAAATATTTGGTCACTCACTTATCAATTTTATCCATCGGCGTACCGTTACCTCCAAAACCGCAGTAGCAACCATAAGGAACAAAAGGATAGAGGGTCGAAGAAAAACTACACATAACCATATTGTTGAAATCGAGTACTTAATTTGAATCATTAAAGAAATCTTGTTAAATCAACAGAAAGAAAGGAAAAAATATTAGCGCAAAAGGATCTCTGGAAATGTTAATTTGAATTGAAGAAAGCTTAATTTATAGCTTAATTGAAAAGGATACATAAAATTAATAGTTATTTTAGTGTTTAAATTACTCGTGAAAAAAAAATTGTAAAAAAAATTAGATAAAAGTTTTTAGTGATAAGCAATAAGCAAAAAATGAAATAAAGGAAAAATGCGAGATTTTGCATATTTTTATCAAATATGTTAAAAAATTAAAAAGTTTTATAAATAATTAAAAATTTCCAAACAAACTTGTGAAATGAAAAAATAAAAGCGAGTGAAATGATTTTACCTGACGAAAATGAAACATTTATGCCTGAAATACATTTTATGTTTGATATCAGAATTTAATTTTAATTTTTTTTCTTCATTTTTCCATTTCTATAAAGAAAGTTCCACTGGATCATGGATCCAACTATATCTTCTATTTTCAAACCATCAAACATGAAATTCACTATTCTCGAGACGTTCTTTACGATTTTACAAATGAAGACCAAGGTTTTTTTCCAATGTTGTGCCAAGATTTTATGAATGTCATTAATAAAAGGTGATGAAAAAGGTGGTGGTACTTTCTTGAATTTATACGAAATATTTTGCACTTCATAAGAGAATAATTTCTTAAAACTATTAAACCTATCTTTTAAAATTTGAAGAGATCAAATTATTGAAACCAGCAATCTAAGTGCAACTTTGGTTATATCATACTTTTTAAGCAAAAAGGCCGATGCATTTTCACTTCGCTGGTTCCATGTCAAAAGAGAGTTACTGCTGCATACAGCTTGCAACCTTTCATTGAGTTTGCTACTTGCTTATATTATTTTCCTATTTACCTGGTGATGCATCGGTAGCTCCGCAGGTAAATAATTTTTCGTGAATCGAGAAATACATTGGAATCCAGCGGCATACAGTCTTTGCTGGGCCGCACTATCATCTAACGGAGAAAAGGAAAAATAGAATAGAATGGCTCAGTGGGTTGCTGCTCAAATTCGGAGTGCCGATGCTGTGGTCCTAATCCCGCAGGAGTAACCCAGTCCAAAAATCCGGGTGACTCACCTGGACTTCTACATCAGTAAGGGACTCCTTGGCATATTTGCCAAGTGCGACAAGCCAGCGGAATGCTTTTAACTAGTAATGATGAGAACTCTTAAAAAAAAGGTAATGGTGATTATTCTCAATGAACAAAACTTATCGGCATTTATTAACAACTTGATTTATTATATGAGAAAAAATAAAAATTCATAAAAGTGACATAAAAAGTTATTAACTTACTTATCAAGAGAAGAAATGATATTAAAAATGAACCATGAACTTGCATTGCTCCGAGCATCAGAAAACTGCTTTGCTACGAATGATTTGTGGTGAATGTTTTAAAGAATTTTGAGTTTTCATAAGTTAGTGTTTACGTTCATGTTTTTTGAAAACTTTTTGGTGCACTTCTATTCATTCGATATGGAAAAAAATCGGTTCTGTGGAAATGGATAGTTGAAAATAACCAAAAATAAAACAATTACTGAAAAAAATAGAATTGATAAAATTATAAATTTTTCCTATGAAAATAATATAATAAAAATTAGAGAGAAAATTAGAGTTCGGTACAGAAAAATTAAATATTAAATCGAAATTTGAAAAATAGGATGAATAAGATTATTATTGTTATCACTGTAATTATCATATCCTTTATTCAAATTATAGGCAATGTTTAGGCATTTTACTTGAAATCAGACATTTGCTATCTAAAACGTCTGATCTGATTCGAAATTCCTTGAAATTCCTTTAAATTAATCACTAATCTCTCTTCTAAAGATCATCTCTTTAGAATCCCATAAAAATTGGAATTCAAGCGTTTCGCAGATCCATCTGAATCAGTAATAGTCAGTCATTAATGATGTTTTATTAGACAGTGTGATAAATTAAATGAAATATTGAAGCTAGGCATCTATTTTAAAAATGATTATGAACTCTTCTTTAATTTAATTTAAAATTCCAGGCTTCTTTCTATTATTTGCCAAATTATAATGATAATGTATTAACCAACATCTATACATTTATCATTTTTTTCAAAATATTTCCACTATTTCAAAAATAAAATTCATTTTGTTAGATGTTTTCTATAATGCCAAATGTTTGCATTTATGATATAATATGATGGGAAATTACGAAGCTGCGACTCATTGCTAAACTTGCAATTATTTTTATTGGTTGCAAATATAAAAAACAAATTAAAAAATCTAATTTCGAATCAAAATATTCAAAATGCGAACAGATTAATGACAGATGGTTATAATCGAAGTGATTTCAAAAAAAGAGGTTCCATAAAAAAGGATTTTCCTAGTGTCATAATATATTTAGTGATTCAATTTATTTTTTATCTTTTTATAATTTTTTCTTAACATTTTTTGGCTGCGTTATTTTAATTCAATTCAACTTTATAAAATTCATTCATTTTTCGAGATTTTGAATAATTTTTAATATTATTAATGCTAAAAAAAATTTATATATTGAAAACAATTTATTGAGTAAAAGTAGTTGAAAAAGATAATTTTAAATTTTAAAAATTTTAAGATAATTTTAAAAAACAGAAAATAAATTTAAATGCAATCGATACAACAACGTACAGCATATTTTAATCCATTTCAAATTATATTTCAAAATAAAAATTTGGCCTAAAATTTGTCTGAAATTTTCTAATATTTGAGCGTTGCTTGAGGAATTTCTGGTTTCGGTATAGAAATGAATTTTTCTTTTTTTATTTTCGTTTATAATTTTTTTACACTAATTTTTTTCATTAGGCGTACGGATGTTTTTAGAAAAAAGTTATTAATATTATTTTGTAATTTCCGCTATATTTTATCTTTAGATTGTTAATTTTTTTTTGTTTTCTGTCATTAATTCTTATTATTTGTTATTTTAACTGTTGGTATTAATACAAACACATGGCGTTTGCGCGCTGCTTGGCTGGTTTTCAATAAATAAATATTAAGAAGCCTTCTCGATTTATTTGGTTATTTTCGAATTGAATTATATAATATTTGAATACTGTTGTAATTGCTATTCGAAAATTATATTGGCCTATTCAGTATATTGCAAGATGAATGAAATAGCATTATAGTAACTTTTAAGATAAAATTTTCTGAACCACAAATAAGGGGGAAAAGCTTTGAAAATTTTTTGTCAGATCTTTTAATCTTAAATACTACTTTCGTCTATATTAATGTGCTTCATTCTTATCGCTTTACGAAATAATTCTAAATTTCGTAAGCTGTTAAAACTTGTTATCCAGGATGGTCCTACAGCTTATAAGTAACACCAGTAGTTTCACAGAAATAGAATATAGTTGCTTTCCACCATTATTTAAGTTGGCCTCATTGGTTACCATATTACCAATTATGCTTTGTCAACGTCAAGACAAATGCCACCGGGACTCGGCGCTTAGATTTCAATCCAGCAACTTACCATTCTTCGTCGTGCAGCGCTCCTAACGGAGAAGAGCAAAGGAGAGTTGAATGGCTCAGTAGGTTGAATTCGAAGAGCCGATAATAAAATTCTAATGAAGACTAAACCTGCCCAAAATGTCCGGGTGATGCTGGTGATCAATCCTTAGAAATTCTTTACACAATTGACGACAATCTTAGTTTAATGAAACATTTATACTTTGCAACTTCTGTGTAACAGATTCTACATACTAATAAACTACATACTAATAAACACAAAAATTCTAGGTCACAAACAATTTTTTAAGGCATTTCGATCCCATTTTAATATTTTCTGTCCTTCAGATCCTTCTTTCGAAATATCGTTATGGGATAATCAAATAAGCGCAATTTGGTTAGGTGTATTTCACGGGAGGTTCTCCACCGAAACCCAAACCTGGATCATGGAAATCCTCTCTTTTTATTATTTTTTAATCAATTAATCAAATGGCACAAAAAAAACAATAAAGTGTTTCGATGCTTTATTTCATAGATACTTTGGAAATTCTAAAAATATCAAAAATTAGAAATTTTGAAGATAATACTTAAAATCTTATTGTATTTTAAAGGCAGTTTTGGATAATTTGGGGGTAAAATGATCATAAGTCAACCGTTCAACCAATTACAACGATATTTGAAACTTTTCCTTTTGTCGATTCGATAATTGGCTTTTTTGCCAGTTGCAAACAAATCGATGAAGTCCAACTCGAATTGGAACAATAAAATAAACAACGAAAAAAATTTCATATAGGATAAAACTAAATGGGATTTGGCGCAACCTACGCAACCAGACTACTTTATCAAAAATGCATCCTATAATGCCGTCGTCTTCTATAGCAGACTATTCTATTCCAGTTAGGGTAATCAGTCTTAAATACAGTTTCGAATTTATATCTAATTTGTAATTATTTCAAAATTTGTCGAGGAAAACGGTTCTTTTTATGCGCGATGAGGAGGTATTACGCGTAGCAACATGGAATGTCAGAATGGCTATAGGTGTTGCAAGCCAAACGATCACCGTCCTAATACTCTTACAAAATACTCTTTCCAAACACCGTGTGGATATGACCTATTTATCAGATCCTCTCTCACATCGGACCTCGAGTAATTATTATATCTGGCTCAGAGCAGGTGCATTGGCTATATTACGGTGGTGGCTAGCAGTGGGCGAAATGGCAATTATCATATCTGAAAAAGTTCAATTCTCTCTGATTGTGTGGAAGGAAGTAAATGAACATATGACCTACGCGTGTTTTAAAGGAAAGTTCTGCAATATTTCGGTCATTAGTGTCATTAGTGCATGCACTCCGAATTAATGTGCAGATGATCGCAATAACCATAAATTCAACGCGGAGCTTCAGTTATTAATAACATCTTTATTGACATGGTTAAAGTCGAAGGAGACTGGAATGCACGCGTTGGTCACGATGACTGAGCT